AAAAAAAAATTGTTTTCATTTCTTATGATTGATTCTTTATTATAATTATTATAGGTGCATTCATTGAGGTTGATATAGACAGTTGTTTATTATGTGTTTACGTAAGTATCATTGTTTATGTTTATTATAGATATGTACAGTAATTGAGGTTTTAATAAAAACAATTTTTTTATTCTGTGTTTACATAACCTCTAACGATTATACTGCAAATAAATAATTGCTTAGCAACGTAAGCATTAGACTTAACACTTAAATAGTAATAATTATAACAAAGTTATAATGTTTTTATTTTTAATATTATTTTGTAATATCGCTTATGATAATTTAATAATTAATTTTTAGTAACATTTATTTAAGCCTATCGACCTGCGTGCAGTTTATGACCCACAATTGAATTTATCCTTGAAAAATTATAGAACCACCTGAAGACGGTCTTATTATAGACCGAAACATGTAGTAATCGGAATGGATAAAAAGCAAAGCAGGAATAGTTGTGTAAGCGGATTTAAGTAATTAGTTTAATCACTACGCACCAGGATACTTTAAATTAAGTCTGTGTGATTTCTCTTTACCTTCTAAATGATGTTTGTGTCTCTTGGTGCATTAATCTGTATAATATTAAACAGTTATCGTAAAACTTCGATTAGTTTATTTTAGATATAAGAATTAAGGAATTCGTCACTGCTACAGTAGAATTAGGCTACAAGACAGGAGCTGATTACGTTTTATCTTCATCATTGTTTTAGCCTGATGTGTGTAATGAATTTGAATGTCATTTCTCCGCATAAAAGAAACATAATCGATAATGTAGCTATTGTCTCAAGAGGCTTCATTTTATTTGCCCGAAACTGCTGCCTTGTCAACCTCATCTCTGACTGGTAATTTGTAAATAATACGGTAAATAATAACACGTAACAACTTCTAAAGAAACACACTTGATTTTTATTCTGGAGGAATCTTTTATAACCTTGAGGCACTGTCCGCCCTGAGTGAGGGTATTGGGTTTTTCCTGAATACTTTCTTGCAGAGGTCTCCACGGGTCCGGGCCTCATAGCTCAGATAATTTTCGGGTTCGGGCCGGGTTCATCCCTGGTCCGATTGATAGCAATCAAACGCTTTGTTATAAAGAACACTTCCGGCTTTCTCTGGCAATTTATTTTCGAAAATGAAAAGTTACTCGTAGTTGCGCTTATCTTATGCTGACACAATTGGGCTCTGGAAAAAAAGAAATCCCATCGACATCGTTTTCTCTGGAGTTTTCGTAGCTGTCCACTCCCAGAAATAATTCGAGGGAACATCTTACAAATTTGGCATCCGACACCCTTGTACCATTCCTTAAACTCTAAAACAACTTAGCTTAGTTCCTCCTAAATTAGATGGAATCACAAGCTGAAATTAGAAGTAACTTTGCCGCAGGTTAAAAACTGGGGTTTCAGCGAACCCTCTTCTGTCAGGAAGACGTAACTGTCTATGTCGTTAGCTTGGACCTCGAAGTGCTGCTTATCAGTGGGACTGCAAATGGTGTCCAAATTGAAGGAACGTTCCCAACATACTCATAATGACCGAGACCGTCACTTTCACAGTCAGTATCTCGATACCGACTTGCAGTAAGCAAAATTTCTCTATTGTTTTTTCTGCGTTGTCTTAGAAGCAGTACAAGAAGGACAACACTTAGGGCAATGAATGCACACAACAGACTGCTAATTACATAAAGAGACGAATGTGCAGTTAAGTCCAGGTCATCCGGAGCTGTTGCTTCTGTAATATCTTCTGCCACGTTCATCGAAATTTCGGAAACATTTTGTGTTTTTGGTTCACTTTTTGCTGTAGTTCCATTTGTTGTGACGACACTTACGGTTACTTCTGATTTCACTGAAGTTATTTCATTTTGCTTCTTTATTTCTTTATAACCACAGTCGTTATTTATGTCGTATTTTGCACTGTTGTAATATCTTCTGCCACGTACATAGAAATTTCGGAAACATTTTGTGTTTTTGGTTCACTTTTTGCTGTAGTTCCATTTGTTGTGACGACACTTACGGTTACTTCTGATTTCACTGAAGTTATTTCATTTTGCTTCTTTATTTCTTTATAACCACAGTCGTTATTTATGTCGTATTTTGCATTGTCACATAAAGATTGTAATTCAAATTTTGTGTTACGTTTTTCGAGTAATTTTCTCATTTTATAAAACTGGCAGTTACATTTAAAGGGGTTTGCTGATATATTAACATAGGATAGTTTGTTGAGAGTTCTACCAGAAGCATAACATCCTTTATTCAGCTGTTGATCGGGTAACATTTCTGTAAATACACTGATGTTCAGAGTTTCAAATTTGTTGTTATCCAGTCTAATGTATTCAAGATTTGGCGCACAGCCGAATGCATCTTTGGATATTTGGGCTAAATTACAGGAACTCAATTCTAAAGTCCTTAAATTTGGCGTTTCTATGATGTGTCCGTTCCCTGGTAACTTCAACATTTTGTTGTTAGAGAGACTGAGCTATGTTAATTCTCTGGCGTAACTAAACGTCGATGGGTGTAGAGTAGTAAGTTTGTTGTTTGATAAATCCAATTCATTTAGGTGAGTTAAACCGTTGAATGCAAGTACTTCAATTGAAGCAATTAAATTATGCGTGAAATTGAGAGAACGTACCTTCACCAATAGACAGTTCTCAGCTAACGTGTTGTTCTTTAACGCTGTGATGCTGTTGAATGAAGCATCAAACACTCTTGTGTAGACGTTGAAGTCATATGGAATTTCCGTCAATGCTGCCTCTTTACAGATGACAGGGATCTCCTGAGGTGTTTCTGGTGAACTCTGACACGTGCACGGCATTGGGCACTTAAGTGCTTGTGTGAATTCTTGTATTACGATGAGCGTAAATACAGTGTATGTCTTATTATTCATCATAGTGTCTTTGTGATAAGTAAACGGGCTGTTGCACAGTGATAGCATAATTATTTTGGTTACTCATTTTATGGTGTTTTGTGAGATTGCAGAATAGTTGGAACCAATGGTCGATCAGTGAATTGATAATGCTCTGTTATTTATCGCAATACACGCCATGAAAATAGCTTTCGTTTGGGGGAGGCTGTATGGCTCCTAATCATTCTTGACCTCTGTACTGTGCGTCAATATAATGTGTTTCTTAAAAAAGGACATAGACTCTTGAGGTTTCCAAAAGATAAGGTACTTGGCTTAAGAGACTGATATCACCTCAGATGTATGGGGTGATTGATGAACTGACTAGGTTAAGAGTTTACTTTTAATACCAAACATTATCTCATGTGTGTTAAACTTATTGACTGTATCTCTGTGTTGAAATTTTTTCATGTGAACCAAAAGGTCATGATTAAGTGTTGATAAAGCTGCAAAACCTGTCACTGTATATGCAGTGTAGGCGCTTGGGAGGGGAGAGGTGTTACAGCTCCTACTGATTCTTGACATCATCCCTTGATGGGGGTTAGTGGTCAGCATCACGCTCCGGCCACGCGTTACCCCCGGGAAGGGACACCTGTTCCCATTGGATAGGATGTTGGGTGGGCCCAAGGGCCTGTCTGGACGCAAAGAGGAAGAATCCTCTGCCCCCGTCGGGGATCGAACCTCAGTCGTCCAGCTTGTAGCTAGTCACTATTACTGACTGAGCTATTCCGGCTCCTATGTTTAATGTGTTGATAAATTAATTAATTTCAAAGATAGAATTATCCTTAAATAACTATAGCATACATGAAAGCTGATTCTATGCTTGGTGGTATATCAGGAAAACTTGTAGAGCTCATTCCAAAATTTTATATAACGGTTTAGAGGTGCTTGATGGCTCCACCATCAGGGTCATGAGTCATCGATCTGGTGCCTCTGAAACGTCCGTAAACTTTCAGAAGGTTACATTGCGCAACAATGAAGAATTTGGATTCTGTAAGTTTCTGACGAAGGTGTGATACGCTAGGGGTTGGTGGGTTTTTGGACTGTGTCCATCGTCCAAGGTTAAAATGTGCACGACGTTTTGAAATCTGGACCATTCCGTCTTTAGTCATAGACCTGAAGACGAAAACGGATTCGGTTTTCGAAACGTGCACATTTAACCTTTACGACGGCTAAAGTCCAAAACCCCCAACGATTCAGGAGACGATTAAATTGGTGTCTATGGTTTTATCTATACGGTGATAATAGGATGAGTTCATAATTTTTGTGATACGTTATCAATTTTTGCATTTGTTTTCTAATTGTTTTTGCATTTTACTTACATTTTAATAGCGTTGTATTATTGTAGTTTTAGTCTTCACTTGAAACGAAGTGTGATTGTCGAACGCTGTGTAGACTAAGCGAAATCGAATTTTGTTTTGTTTAGAGAATCCAAATGATGTACCTGAAACATACGTTTCAGTTACTCTTACTGGCGATATTCTGTACCGAGTATTTGTGTTGCCCTTCTGATTGCAGGTAAGTTTGATTGATGACAGATATACTCACAATGACAAAAGAGTAAAATCCTGTTTGCACATTTCACGTATTTTATGAGGCCTCACTTTCTTTCAAACGCTATTTATGTTTCCAAAGGTTTTCGATCAATGAACGAAATAACAATCCACGACTGTAATCTTCAGACTTGCGGGGAGAGGAGGTGGGGTGAAGGAGGCAAGGTAGCGTCTGCCTTTATCGCTACGGAGTTAATGCATTCCTTGCAAGTCTCAAGATTACAGTCGTGGACTGTACCTACCGTTGTGTAAATAGATTAGAAAAGATCAATTCCGTGTTATAGTTTTGCAGTTAAAGTGGGAGTAGTTCTGCCAATATAAAACTTTATTAACTGCCAAAGCGTACTCATAAAATTGACGCTGTAATAATTATTTAAATATGCAATGTGTATACGAAATGTTTTATCGTGTTTTATATTTAGAGGAATGCAATGTAGAAATATTTATATCTGCACTTAAGTGTAACCTATCAATTCGTTCGAAATCATGCAAAATTCAGTTCTACGCGGGTTTTTTTTCTTCTACAACAGATTCCTTAAAGTCCTCGTGGGACCGTCATCAGCGTTACCTTATAATCTTTGTTCAGGCCGTTCCACTACATTTCGATACCGATAGTGTAAGAAAATCAGAACGTAGTTATTTTAGTAATAAATAAGGAATGCATAACATTATTATATATCATACATAAAGATGCCAAATTACATTGCAGTTACAATAACATTAATATTTTAACATTTTAAGGATTTGTTATAGATTGTTGGTTATTTTGGTTTCATAATATGACATTGATAAGGTAGTTTTAGAACTGCAACATAGTGATTCTAAATACTCGAATGGCCGGAAGCAAGTCTGTAAGATAACACCGATGATGGTATGATGAGGACTGAACCGCATTTGTTGTAAAACAAAATAAATAGTGTAGGAAGGAAGTTGGTTTCTCAACATTTCGTGAAAATACCCACGTGACATGAAAGGTTGTCATATCTACTTTTGATCGTCTCTGTCAGTAGTAGATTTATGGGTTCAACAAATGAACATAAAGACAAGCACAAGAGTTTAGAACTTAACAATAATTGAAGAAACGTCCTGTAAAAATTGTGCTCGGATGTGAAATGCATGGTATATTTCTAATCTAGTTGCTTGTTTTTGGTACATACGTGCCAAGTTTTTGTTTTTATTCCCATTAATAGTTGTAGGCGAGGAAATGGTGAAAATCACATTTGCCCAGACGAACTTTGCAAACAATTTTTGCGAACTATTAATTGGGCCCTGAGGAATCTTTGGTGTATATAATAAGGGTACTTCTGCCGTCCGTGAGTGGGTTACGAGAGCAGTATTAGCATCCTGTCGTGTTTTCAGATGTGAAGACAAAGACAGAGTGGTGGTTAACTGTACTGGATCTGGGCTGTCTGAGCTACCACGCTTAGGATACGACAGACACACGAAGACTATTGATGCGTCTGGTAACAGAATAGGAAGTCTTAGAAACTACACCATTTTGTATCTTGAGATCACAGGTCTGGAAGCATTGTATTTGAATTGCAATGTAATAGTGACAATTGAACCTCGAACGTTTGTCGGGCAAGGAACGTTGAAAGTCTTGGATCTCTCAGAAAACAATATCACATCTGTACACCCAGAAACTTTCGTGTTTACTGACAATCTGGAAGAACTCTTACTCGCAAAGAATCCTTTTTTGAATCTGGAGGGAAAAGAGTTTTGGGTCAGTACACTTACATTTATAGATTTAAGTTCCTGCGGCTTGAATCGCTTTCCCATTAATTCACTTCCAAATTTACCACATAGTTCTCTACAAATAGATTTTCGCTACAATAATTTACTTTCCATCAGCGATGACTCAACGTAAGCTCAAGAATGTAATAATGAATGAAAAACCGGTGTTTCAAAGCTGTTACTTTTGTGACAGAATATAATAACATGAACTTGAAAGTGGCGTGTGGGCAGTCAAGGCTCCAAATGGATTGCAGCGGAAGACAACGAAGGTGATTTGCTTGGAATGTTACACTTTCATGCAATATTTACTTTAATTGGTAGCCTATAGATATATAAATATTTAAATGATTTCCTTTGTTGTTTTCATTATGCTGATTCTTTAAATATGAGGTGGACTTTGGTAAAATTGTTTCACGAATAAAACTTTAAAATTACATTACTGAGCATGTAGTTTATTATGTGGAATTTGAGGTTATCACGGCGTTGGCGGCGCTTTGTAACATGAATAGATGCCTGATAATGACTACATTATTCGAAACATGTCTCTATTGTAAGATAGCGGTATTTTAATCTTTTTCTTGAAAAGAAACCACATTAGAAACTGACTTATTATCTTCTGAGTGCTTTATCAGACAAAACTCTTCTGCCACATCATTTGTCTGATTCTATAATCTTGTTCTAATCGTCTTAAAATATTAAGCTTAAGTAAATTGTTTTTGTCTCAGTACATGTAAACAGGCCTGCAATTTATTCTCTAGTGACACGAAATGCACACAGAGTGTTAAAGAACGTTTTTGTTAGTGGTGCAGAGATACGAATGTCGCTAATCGTTTCAGTAGGCCTGCTTATGAATTAGTCACTTTGTTTCAGGCGAGTGGTTGAAGTTGGCTGACTTCTGGGATGTTAACCGACGTTTCAGAGCCCCTTGCTGCCTCCAACATTCGCCCTGATGATGGAGGCAACAAGGACCTCTGAAACAGTGGCAAACGTCTGCTAGACTACAGAGCCCATAAGACAATAATCTAGATGTCAGTATGGGTCGTTTTTAATGTTGTCTTCCACTTTTCCATGAGGTCTGAGGTCATAGATGCATGCAACCAATTGAATCCTTTTCAGAGTCTGAATGTCATCTACAAAGGTCCGCCGCTGGACCTTCCCCTGAGATAGATGAAACCAATTCACGCTCTTGTGTTTTATTTCATTGCCCATTTGGTATGATATTTGATTATGTGTACCCAAAACACATGTAATAAAACAATTAAAGGAGTTGAAAGGAAATGCGTGGAACATTTCTGTGTCCGTAAATAAATTATTTAGAATCGTATGGTGGGTTTACACAGATTTCAAGTATTTCAGATTATCAGACGAAACAGGGATTGTCCGGCATAAGGCAAAGTGGTATTAATTTAAAATTTCTTTCAATATAATTTACCCTCTACGTTTATGCATCTCAGGTGGTCTCTTCCTTTCAAATTTCTGACCAGATCGTCACATGATGTTCACTTTACGATTTTCAAATTCCACCTGAAATTTCACCCAAATCCATGTAGTGGTCTCCAGTTGAATCTACTCGACAAAAGGGCGGATGGATGGATGGACGGACAGACGCGACCAGCAAAGAACGCATAAGAAATGATAGTAAAGGAAGAACACTTCCTTTGAAGAATTTGAAGGTTTTAGACGTGACTCAGAAGCAGCTAGAGGATGTACCGCCAGAAATATT